TGGAGAGCCAGGTGCTCTGTATTTAGGCATGCATTTTTACTGAGTTACTTGATCTATACCCCCGACTTTCAGACAGGTGTCCTTTTGTTCTAGAACACTGCCATGTACTTTAGTTTAAATTTAGACTTAAGTTGGTCTGAAAAAGCCCCAATCTCAGAGGTATGGACTCAGGTTCTGTGAGCGGGAGATAGCGTTGGGTGTGATCCGTTCCCTGCTCGACTGTGAAAACTTGCTGAGTCTACATGTTCCTATCAGAGGTCAGAGCAGAGGCCAGCACCAGGCTGCAGGGCTGGTGCTGGCCACTGAGGGAGCCAGTCCTGTTCCCTGTGTGCCCAGTTTCCCTGAACAGACCTGCACCTATAAGCCAACAGGCACCACAGGCACCTAGATGAGACTGTCCCGTGTGAGGAGGGAGAGAGAGACCTGTCAGAACTCATGCCTGCAAAGCTCTTCCTGGGAGTCATCACACTTGTAACTAATTGCTTAGTCATCTGTCTCACACAGAAAGCACCACACGGAGGCAAGGGACCGAGACACTTTTCACTGCTCTGTGCATAACACCTCACATCTGGCTGGCATTTCATAGATGTTAGCTGTGTGATATTGAATTGACAGAGCCTTGGAAAATCAATCAAGATCATTAGTGTGGTACCAGGCTCAGAGAGGCTAACCCCTTCGGCCCTCTGTTTAGTACTGTAATGCTCTGTACTATCTGGTTAAGCAAAATGACAGGGAGCGATGTCATTTCTCAAGGTTTCCGCAGCCGTGCATTGTGCTTTTCTGTTTGTTTCTAGATAAACTCAGAATTGTTTTGTCAAGCCCCAGTGGGTTGATTTTAATTGGAATGAGATTAAATGTATGGATTGATTTGTCAGACCTCGTTTTGTAACAAAAGGAAGTCTTCCTAGTCAATGACATCTCTCTGTCTGACACTCCTTTTTGTGCTGACAGTTTTAAACTCTTTCTCCACTCAGATCCAATCTGTTCTCTGTCTGGTAATCACTGGTATATAAGGAAGCTATTAACTGTATGTTTGGTACTACCCCTTTATTGCGTTCATTTAATTGTGAGTGCTTTTTTGTTTGCTTCCTGGAGGCTTTCCACCTAAGATACCTTCTTTCTCCATCATATGGTTTGAATATGAAATGCCCCCACAGGCATGTCTTCCATGTTTGGTCCTCAGCTTATGGTTCTCTTTGAGAGCTGAGGAGCCTCCAGAGTTGGGTGGAAATAGGTCACTAGGGCAGGCCTAGTTGATAGCCACTTCTGCCTCCCACCTTCTCTACCTCCTGGTTGGACATGTATGAAAAGCCTCAGCCTTGGTTCTGGGCACCAGGGAGACAATACCTCCTACCTCCATGCCTTCTCCACCGTGGTGAACTGAAATCCCTCTGAAACTGTGAGCCAGGATAAACCTTTCCTGGCTGTGGTTTCTGTTGGGCATGTGATCACAGCAGTTAGAAATGTGACTAATGATGCATCTTTTTGCTACTTGCACCCTGCATCGTGCCGTCCTCGATGACACCCAGCACAGCACCAGAGACTAATTCTGCATCCTTTGCTCTCCTTAATGTCTCACCATCTAAGAACAACTTAATGTCTCACCATCTGAGAACAATAGCATTGTTCCTTCGTTTTATGGACATAGTCTTCATTGTCAGAAAATATCATTTTGTTTCTATTTTATTGAGATGCTTCCCCCATGAGAAATGGAGTTTGGATTTTTTCCCACAGGCTCTTTCAGTATCTAGTAATAGAATCAAATGGTTTTTCCTTTTGACTGCCTTTGACTTTGGAAATGATTAAAGAAAAATTTCCTAATAGACACTGAAAGTATACATTTACAGTATGTGCTTTTATTTTTATGTGTGTGTGTCTATATAATGTGTGTGTGTCTTCACATGTGAGTATGGGTATACACATGCCTTGGCACATGAAGACAGCCCAGGGCGTTAGTCCTTACCTTCCACCTTGCTTCACGCAAGGTCTCTTGTTCACTGCTGCATTCAGCAAGCGAGCTGGCCCGTGAGCCTGCAGGATTCCTTCTCTGCCTGTCGCCATAGAAGGGCTGAGATTATAGATATGTGTTACTATTTCTGGCTTTTTACATGGTATCACAGTTAGTTTCAGTTGTCAACTTGACACACCTGGGAAGAGGGAACTTCAACTAAGGGATTTCCTCCACAAGACTGGCTTGTGGGCACAACGGTGGGGCATTTTCTTGACAGCTAATTGACGTAGGAGGGCCCAACCCATTGCGGGTGGTACCATCCCTAGACAGGTAGGACTGAACTATATAAGAAAGGTAGCTGAGGAGCTGGAGAGGTGGCTCAGCGGTTAAGAGCACTGACTGCTCTTGCAGAGGACCTGGGTTTGATTCCCAGCACCCACATGGAGACTAACAACAGTCTGTGACTCCAGTTCCCAGGGATTCAATGCCCTCTTCTGACTTCATGGACATTGCATGACATGAGTGCACTTACACACATGCAGGCGATATATTCATACACATAAAATAAAAATATTTTTAAAAAAAGAAAGGCAGCTAGAGATGAGGCTGGAAGGGACCCAGTAAAGATGCTGAACTGTAACCTGTAAGCCAAACAAATCCTTTCCCCCGCAACTTGCTTTTGGTCATGGTGTTTATCACAGCCAAGAAAAAAGAGAAGGACGTGTGGGTTCTCCAGGATCTACACCCAGTCCTCACATTTGCACAGCAGTCTTTATCCACTGAGCCATCTCCCCATCCTAGCATGTTCTTGTAATACCATGCTAGGTTTGAGTTAAGCGTATACTTAGTATTGTGACTTATGTAGAACCAACTGAGATAAACTCAGTCTGTCTGTCTCTCTGTCTCTCTCTCTCTCCACACACACACACACACATATATATATGAAATCTGGGGTGGCTTCCGTGGTCCATGTTCTAGGAAGTTTCTAGGCTTTCATTATACAAAGGAACCTTCCGATAAACTAGTCATAGTAATTTGGGGTCTGTTGTACTTTAAAAAATAAAAGTTGGAAATATTCTTCCCTTCCTTCAACATCAGTACTTTAAAGATTCCTTTTAAATGATCCATTTTATTGATTTTTTCCTATTTATTGCCCATAATTAAATATGGTACTCCCACATTTTCTTTCTCTGGTTTCTCCACTGGATCAGACTTGTCAGACACTTGGCTTTCTTTGCCAATAGTCAGGTCTTAGATCCATCCATCAGTGACTCTCGCTTGGCTCTCTAGTTGAGTAGTCCATTTTCCTTCTCTGTTGATTCTTTTCTTTTTAGATTTGCTCTGTGGTTGGCAGGCAGGCTGGTATGGACAGATAGGGACCTAACAAGAGCCCCAGCTAACTAACACCCAGGTCCTTGTCTAGAGCCCTGGTTCACCTCCCCAAACTACCCACTGGCCCAGTGCTCTAGGCCTCCAAGCCCATTAAGAAACTCAACTTTAACACCATTGCTCTCTCTGCTCAGTGTAAGATATAAGGAAGCTTCTTATGTTTCTGTTTGAGCCAAGGGGGTCAGGGAAAGGACAGTCACATCTGTATTCTAAAAAGCAGTCATCACATACAAGTGGCCCCCCTTACCTCCTCACCCTCAGTGACTTTATCTGCAGTTGGCCCTTCTGCTACAGAGTGGAACTCTCCTCAAGACCCTCGAGCAAAGAGAACCAGAGTGACAGATGACATAGATGCTGGTGCTCTTGGGGCTCTCTAAGCTTGTTATTGAAGCGGCTCTGGGCCCCTTGAGGGTGGTATCAGTGGTCTGTGCCATGCATCTATTTGGATTTCCCCTCTGTCCCCTAGCCTTGCTCCAGAGGTCAGTCAAGGCAAGCCCTGAAATTCATGCTGAGTTGATCAGATGCTTAGCATCCCCCTGAAGGCTCTCTATAGCAGCAACAGAATCTGTTGCTCCTAATGAGCCAGTGGACTTCCTCTTTGTTCTCCGTCCATTGAACAGAGATCACCAGAATTCTCCCTTACTCGGGTTCTGAGATCTGAGCCATCACCTCCTACTTAAATATCAAGCGTGCTATACTAGCCAGGAGGAAGTCCTCTTAAGTACCAGGACTCCCTTTTATTGAACAATAGGAACTTGCTAAGAAAATATAGTTATGCACTTCCCAGAAGAATCCATCTCCCCACTTTCCAAAAGACGTGTGATTCAGGTCCCTTACATACACTCTTACAAATCTTATTTAGAAATATATAGATTTAAATGTATGAATAAACATGAGCCCTCATGGCTGTGGGAACTGATACTGATTTTCTTTCCTAAAGCCAGAGCAAGAGGGAGCCCCCGCCCCCAGACAATCTCTACCTCTTCCAGGCCCCTACCCACTGGTCTGCCTCTGTGAAAGGGGTCAGGGCACTGTGGAATGTGCCAGAGCCTTGCCTACCAATGCGTGCAGTCACCCCTCCTCACTCAGGCTGAAACTTGACCACCATGGTCCAGAGCTGAGTCCCTCCCCAGCCAAGGAGGGCACATCTGGCCGTTCATGCAGGTTCTAGGGCTTAGGGAATGAAAAAATAAAAATGACCCACTGGAAAATCGATGGACTTCCCCAGAGCGGTGATATAATTAGCAGCCCTGCCAGTCAGTGCCCATAAGTACTCCATGAAGCATTTCCTGCAAGAAATTAAGGCCCTGTCCAATGGCTTTCCGATAACAGGAATAATACATCTGAATTTTATTCGTTCAGAAATAAACTCTGGTGGCTGTTGCTCTTCTGTGTAGCAGCCGAACAACATTAAATATTTGGATGTCTTTCTGATCATATTTAGAACAATGATGGAAGCCATGAATTACAGGGTCTGACATGTTTATTGCCTGTAATCCGTTTCACAGCCCTTTCTTTCAAAGCTTGAGTTGTTGAAGAGAATCACCGTAAGGCGAAAAGGAGAATTCGAGAGTTATTTCTTGGGTTCACTCTCTGGAGCAGGCCAGGTCACAGGCCAGGTAGGGGGTTTCCTCTTACCAACGCTGATTTTCACCCACAGTACCACCAGTCATTCGCGTCTATCCAGAAACCCAGGCACAAGAGCCTGGGGTGGCGGCCAGCCTGCGATGCCATGCTGAGGGCATTCCCATGCCCAGAATCATTTGGCTGAAAAACGGCATGGATGTCTCTGCCCAGACGTCCAAACAGCTCTCCCTCTTAGGTAAGAACTGCCCATAAACCCCAGGACAGGACAGGAGAGACAGGACTATGGCCACGTCTGGCATGGTCAGAGGAACTCTGGATCTCCTGATACCTGGGTGCACACGGATCTCAGTAATAAGAAGCTATCAGTCAGATTCCAACTCACCCTCTGGATTTCAGCAATGCCAACCCATCCTAGGTCCAGTCATATTCAAGGGTTGTGGTTTTAGCCCCAGGACTCTAAAAAACCCTGAGAAGGCAGGGGGGAAGTCGTGTGGAAGGGTGTTGTGCCGGGAGGGTCACCCTGAGCACTGTCCCTTCTACAGCCAATGGGAGCGAACTCCACATCGGGAGCGTTCGGTATGAAGACACAGGGGCCTATACCTGCATAGCCAAGAATGAAGTGGGCGTGGATGAAGATATCTCCTCCCTCTTCATTGAGGACTCAGCTAGGAAGACCCGTGAGTCGACTCTTGCGTCTAAGCCCCGCACTGAGCTGCTGGGGAGTGTTGGGGGGAACTGGGGAGGGCACCAATTGTCCAGGCTGGCTGGCAGCCCCTGCAGACTAGGGTGACCCCATGTCCTGTGCACATAAAGCTGGATACAGAAGGTGATCTTTTCTGGCATCCTAGACAGCACTGGAAACAGTAGATAGTCTGGGTCAGTGCACAAAGCCGAGGACCACAAGGAGTTCCGCTCCTCCTCCCTGCTTGCTATATAACTAGAAACTCAGTCACAAAGCCCTTCGTATACCCAGTGGACAGGTGCTGCCATCACTGTGGCCTAGGACCAGCCAGTGCAGTGGCCCCCTCTGTCTACAGCTTTGCTTCCAAGGCTCTGAAAATATTAAGTTGAAAAATCCAGAAATCAACAATTCAGAAGTCTTAAATAACTTTAATATTTATTATTTTTATTGTATGTGTATAAGCGTGTATCCTGCATGTATGCAAATGTATCATGCGCATGTGCTGCCTCCTCTAGCGCAGGCGTTACAGATGGTTGTTAGCCACCATTTGGGTACTGGGAACTGAGCTTGGGTCCCCTGCAAGAGTAGCCAGTGCTCTTAACCATAAGCCATCTCTCCAGCCCTTTAAATAACTTTATGTGTGCGTATGTGCATGCGAGTGCCCCCAGAGGCCAGAAGTGGGCATCAGATCCCTTGAAGCTGGAGTTACAGGTAGTTGTGACCCACCTGGCATGGATGCTGGGAATCAAACTCTGGTCCTCTGGAAGAGCAACAAGCACTCGTAACTGTTAAGCCGTCTCTCTAGCACCTTAAATAACTTAATATTAAAGTGTATCATCACAACTATTTTACTAATAGTTACTGTTCATCTCTTACTGTGTGTTTTATAAATTCAGCTTTATCATAGGTACATATGTATAGGAAGAAGTGAGCATGAATGGGGTTCGGTACTGTCTGTGGTTTGGGGGCCCTGGAAAAGCATCTCCTGCAGATAAGGGGATACTGTAGGGTATACACACCACTGGGAGCAGCCTTTCTTCCAGGAAACTTACCCACCTGGAGGGGTGAGTTTGCTCTCCCTTGTAGCCACTGCTCCCCAGGTGGTTCTGTGGGTGGAATTCATGGCACGGGTGTTGGTCACAGTTCACCCTTTGTCAGACTCCAAGCTAAGCCTTCATCGCTGGAGGAAATGGTGAGAAGTGTTTCCTGTGTTCTTCCTCAGAGAATCCTCATCAAAGATCAGTTCTGCTGAAAGTAACCTAGGAAATGTGGGAGAGATGCTGCTCAGTATTGTCCACAGATTGGGGCGGGGGGCGGTCTCCATTAGCTTGCTAAGATCCTGGGACCTAATTTCAGAGACCAAAAGGGTCCTGAGACCTGGAGGTGTTCATACGTGTCCAGAGCTGTTGGGCTAATGTTATTGCTGGACCAATGTGTGATGCAGATTCTGTAGGAGACGGAGTGGTTACCGAACGTTCTTGAGTGGATGAAGACTGCAGTGAAGGTTTGACATTGTTTTCTTTTTCCCCTTCTGGCCTTCACGTCCCATCTCTACACTCCGAATTCTTGGCCGCTACAGTGGCAAACATTCTGTGGCGGGAAGAAGGTACTGAGTGTGATTGTCCTGTGTCATGTAACCACGTGTGTTCTTGGTTCCCTAAGCCACCAGCTTTGCAGACACTATGCAGTCCCTATGATGAGCTTGTGTACCAAATCAAAATCAGGGAGGCTTAAAGTCAAACTCATGTGGCATACACATGCACAGACTCAGGTCAGTTTCCTAAGCATTGGGCACTATGCCTGACAGCGTGCGAGAGCCAGACAGAGGCAGATGTGAGGGATGGTGGGCGGCAGCAGCAGCCGCTGGCTCTGACCCTTACTGCACTCCCTGCTACCCCAGTGTAGTGCCTCACCTGCAAACCCACACACAGCTTGCACTCTATTAAGAGTGGTATGCTACTAGGTACAGGTTACTGCAGAGGGGTTAAACGCCGCTGGCCTGCGAGGGACACAGGAGGTCCTGGGAGATGTGCCATGCACTGTAGGAACCAAACACACACTGAAGACCCATAGCCACCTTAGAGCAGAAAGCTAGCAAGTGCTATGCTAAGACTAAACAGCACGGCAGTGAACAAATTCCATGTCACCTGGGCACCTAGATGCTGTGCCTTTTGCTGCTAACGTTCAAGGCCTGGAGAGAAGGGTTACAGAAGCCAAGAGGAACAGATCACAGGCTTTACGCCACACTCGAATCTCAACATTCAAGTTGAGCAGGGAGCCCCTTTGTTCCCCTTTAGCAGAAGCCAGATTGGACAGACCCATCCAGTAGCCTGGATCAGAAGACTGAATCTCCTGTCTAGTTGACTGTGTTGAACAGGGTATCTGTTGAGTCTCAGAGTCCCTTGACTGTGCAAGGTACTATATTCAGCCAGAAATGTAGCTACATCTACGAACCCCATGTGGGCTCCATTAAGCCGTCAATCTTTTGCTGGCCTTTCCAGTGACTGACTTTCCAAGAAGCCCAGGGAGGCAGTGCCCAGGGCCTGTGGTTCAGCCCAGGGTTTGCCAGGTGGGTCAGAGAAGAGGTGTTCTGCATGCTGCCTCAGACAGAAACTGTGGGGGAGAGGTGAGGTGACATAAACAGCCAGCCCCATCCGGTCTCAGGGGACACCCAGGATTGGCCATCGAGAACAATGTCAGGTGCTCCCTTGCATGAGCAGCTTTGGGGTTCCAGATGCCCGAATCCTGGAAGACCACCTGCAATCTCTGGAAGAGAGATGGTGATTCTTAGTTTTCTATTCTGTCGTTTTGCTAATTCAGTCAAAATAGTAAACCAGCAAGCACCACCTGTATTTTCCCAGAATTCTAGGAAATGGTATTTTAAATGTAGTTTCTTTAAGTTTGTAGAAATATTAACATTTTTGATTTAAAAGAGATGAAGGAAGCCAGGCATGGTGGCATACACCTGTAATCCCAGCACTTGATGTGGACAGAGGGAGATCACGAGTTCTAAACCAGCCTCAGCTACACAGTGAATTCAAGGCTAGCCTGGGATACATGAGACAGTCTTAGGAAACTGAAAAAGGAAATGGTAGGAGAAAGAAAGAAGGAAAAGAATGGACAGAGAGCAGAAAGAGAGCGGCAGGGAGAAAGGGAGAGGGAGGGAGCTATCTAGACCTTACATCTCCTTCTGCCATATCTCCGTTCAAGGAAATAGCGGGGAGACAGAGGCTAGAGACAGGCTCTGGGGCTGGATGGTAACTCTGGCACAAAGTCAGGAAGCCTCGGGCCAGCCCTTCCTCTGCTCGGTCCTGTCTTTCCATCTTTAAAAGAAGGTAAACCAGCTGGTCCCCCCAGGCCTTCTCACTAGTGGGCATAGCCAGGCTGTGGGCTCAAGAGAAGCTGGTGGAGGAAAAGTGGGGCCAGGACCAAGTGTGGACAAGGGAGTGACAGTCCAGTGTTCTTAGGCCCCGACTGCATGTGTGATACTATATGCCAACGCATTAAAAAACTAAAATGGAAACCTTTACTATTTGGGGACCATCTGATCCAGCCTGCTTTGACTAGTCCACAACAATCAATGGAAGATTTCCTTTCAGAACAGGAAAAGACCGAATTTCACAGCCAAGATTATCTTTTACTTGAAGTTATATTGATCTGTATATATCGGTCAACCCCAGATCTATAAGTTCTTGGGAGGCCAGCCTGGGTACTGCAGAGCTGCTGGTGGCTGTACTGGTTCCCAGTCTTGGGGATGCTTCCTTCCACCTTCCCACCTACCATCCAGAAGTGTGGTGAGGCAGCTGCCCGTCCCCCCTTCTAACCAGGAATTGCATACTGTGCCTCTACCAGCTGTGTCCACACTGCTTTACCTTGTGTGTTCCATGTTGCATGTGGCCCTACCTGGTGCCCAGAGGCAAGAAGGGCGTGACCATTCTGTGCTTACTCCTCCCAGGCCTCAGCGTGGGAAACATGTTCTATGTCTTTGCTGACGATGGCATTGCTGTCATCCACCCCGTGGACTGTGAGGTCCAGAGGCACCTGAGGCCCACAGAGAGGATCTTCATGAGCTATGTGAGTTTCTGTGACTGGGGAGGACGGTCCATATCACACACAGACAAGGCAGTCTTGACCCATGTGTGTCACTTGGTTTCTTTAATTCTATTTGCTATACATAGTGGGGTTCCAGTTTTGTTCCCAGAATGAGGGAGGAGTTCGTCTAACTCTCCGTCCTCCATCCAGCATCTGTAAGGTCCAGGCACAACTGCGTTCCTGGCCTCGGGAAGTTCATAGTCAAATAGGAGAGACAGCAAGGTCAACAGACAAGTGTTCTTGTGGTGACCTTCAGACAAAGACACGCATGAAGGCCCCCATGACAGGAGTGCTGCAAATGAAGCATGAGGCCAGGTATCAAGTGGCAGGTGACAGGAAGGGGTAGAGGCAGGAAAATCCCCAGTGGTGGCAGAGCCTGTCCAGCCCTTCCTGTTCCCATTCTCCTGGGTTTCCCCATCACTCTGTGTGGGGTCTCTCCAGTAAGTCAGGCAGGAAGCCCCTGCTGAGAAAGGAGCTGACCTTAACAGCAGGGTTCCCCGTCACTCTGCCCCACTCTTCTCTGTGGTCCCTCTTAGTCCACCTGTCCCTGAGCTGTTGATGACTCTGGCTCCGTTAAGTGTCAGTGCCACTGTTCTTCATAATTTCCCAAGGGCCAAGTGGGAAAGAGGCTAAAAGGAAAGAGGCCATGTGTGGGAAGCATCCTGGGAGCCTCCAGGATGTAAGAGCCCGGGCTGGTTGAGTTGGAGGCACCTGTGGAGAACCACACAGGAGCGGAAAAGACATTTGTGATCTGAAGACAGATCTGAGGGCCATCAGCATGTGAGTGTTGATAGGCAACAGTGTGTGCAAACGATTCGAGATAGACACCTAACAGGGTTCCGAGTGGACAACTCAGGGACAGACGAGGAGGGAGGGAGGGAGGAAGGAAGGAAGGAAGGAAGGAAGGAAGGAAGGAAGGAAGGAAGGAAGGAAGGAAGGAAGGAAGGAAGGGCGGGCTGCTAGTTGGTATAGAAAGAGCAGGGTTGGAGGAAGAAGGGTTGATTTTAAAGACGCAAGTTTGAGATGCACAGTAAAGGACCAAGCAGAGGGAGATGGGAGATGTGTAAGTGTGGAGCTCATGAAGAGGCTCAACTAAAGAAATTTGGGAGTGGGGACCGGGAAGATGGCTCAACTGGTGAAGAATTTTCTTTGCAAAAATGAGGACCTGAGTTAGAGCCTCAGAACCCACATTTTTTTTAACTGGGCATTGGTGGCACAATCTTGTAATTCCAGCTTGGGGGGCAGAGGCAGGTGCATACCTGGGGCTTGTTGGCTGGCCATCCTAGCCTAATTGGGAAGTTCTAGGCCACTGAGACCATGTCTCAATAATAATGAAACCCAATAACGTAACCAGCATTGGAACAAGGATGGCTGATGTGATCCTCCGGCCTCCACACGCACATGCACGTGCATACATACTTGGGGTGGTACATGTACAGACAGTACTTTAAGCCAGCTACAGGTTTCACGGGGATCAACAAGGGAATAGATTTTAAAGACGAAATGCAGGGATGTGCCCTGGCCCTCCCACACAGAGCTCCATAAACTGAGCAGAACCCCGGAACAAAAGTGCTCAGGCACTGGGGCTCAGTGGAAGGAACAGGGCTGAGTCAGTGCCCTCAGATGATAGTTGAAGTTCAAACAAAATGGTGGCAGAGGGTTCATCTAGCCAGTTTTGAGTCCACATTGACCTTGGTGAGGTCAAGCCAGAGGGCTCAGAAGCATGAGGAGGAAGTGGGATGTGGGCAGCTCTCCCACACGTCTGCCCAGTGACAGAAGAAAGGTAGCACAGCAGAGTGGTGACATCTTAACCTGGCAAAGGAGCAAAGGGTTAAGTGAGAAGCTGGTGACATGACAGGACTTGTGTGCCATGTTCTATGAATCCAAAGAATCCAAAAAGAAGGGAAAGGGGGACCCAAAAAGATGAAGGAAAAGGGAGGAGATGATACAAGACAGTCTCTCCTTATAGGAAGAAATCTGTCCTCCTGGGGAAGAAGAGGCCACCCAGCCATGCCAGTGGGCATCTGCGGTCAACGTCAGGAACCGGTACATCTATGTGGCCCAGCCAGCTCTGAGCAGGGTTCTTGTGGTCGACGTTCAAGCCCAGAAAGTCCTACAGGTACAGTTCTTGGAAGGAGAAAGATTTCAAATTCTAGGGTACAGCCTGCTGTGTGCACACTCCCCAGGTGCCTATGAGAAGGAATCAGCAGCCTCAGGGAAAAGACTCCCATGCAGGCATATGTTAAGTATCTATCACTGCATGCCCAACACCATTGTAAGTGCTCAAGAAACAGACATGGGAGAATGTTCCGGAGTCTAGTCAGGGAGACAGACCACAAATCAGAATTTCAGGAAGCTGTGAGAGCACTTTAAAGTGGAGGTGAACAGAAGCTGAGATCTAAGTGCCATGTAACAGACTGTGGGAGGAGCGTGTAGTGATGAGGGGAGGACCGGGAGACAATAAGTTTAGGGGTAAACAGAGGCCAGCCAGAGAGGGCCTCGGAGGCCAAGGGGGCCATAGAATAAAATCCAAGGTGGGATAGAAAGCCACCGAAATGTTTTGATCCAAGGAGTGGTATCATGTGACTTGGGTTTCTGAGAGTCAAGACAGCTGCTATTGTAAAAACAGATAGGAAGACAGAGCAGGGGTGTGGTGGGACTTGATCCAGACAAGAGACAATGGCAGCAGCAGGAGGCCCTGGGGAGAAACAAGCAAATTCTTGTATTTTAATCATAGTGCCTATAAAACTTTATTATTTTAAATTATGTCTGTGTATGGGTGTGTGCACCTGAGTGCAGGTGCCCATGGAGGCCAAGAGAGAGAGGGTGCCAGGTCCCCTGGAGCTGGAGTCACAGGCGGTTGTGAGCTGCTCAAGGTGGGTGAACTCGAGCTCTCTAGAAGAGCAGAAGAACACTGTTAACCACTAAGACATCTCTCCAGCTCCCTAAAAGTCTTTCTGATGGACTGAATGTAAGGCTTAGAAGGAAAAAGGAATTGGGTTCATTTCCTGGTTAACTTGAACATGGGATCGTGATAGCCTTTACAGTGTGTGACAGGTTAACAGATGTCCCGGTCCCAGAAACTTGTGACTGTCATCTTATATAGAAAAGGGGGACTTTGTAGATGTGATTAAGGATTTTTCAAGTCAGGAGATTACCCTGGATGAGCTGGGTAGACCGAAAATACAATCCTCCTTGTAAGAGGGAGGCAGAGGAAAAATTTGGCCACGTAATCAATGCCAAGCTGAAGCAGGATGCTACTGGCTTTGACAACTGACAAAGGGAGCAGTGGCAGAGGCTGGTGAAGACAAGCAGTATCCTCTCCCTGGAGCTGTGTAAGGAACGTGACCTGACAGTGTGTTGGTTTTATCCCAGGTAAACTGATTTTTGTCCTTCTGGTCTTCAGAGCTGTAAGAGCATACGTCTGTATTCTAAGTCAACAATCTGTGGTAATTTGTTACCATGGCAATATGAAAAGACTGTGACCAAAGCCAAGCGTGGCACAGGTTGAGGGGAGCTAAATTTGAAATGGTGTCAGATATTTACACAGGGATGTCAAGTGAGCAGTGGATGGACAGGACTGGCATCAAAGGAGAGGTGAAGGCTGAAGCTACCCATTTAGGTGTCTTTACTCTATGGCCTGAATCAATCCAGAAAACTGGGCGAGGTCACACAGGGTATACAGACAGAATAGGTCAGGGATCAGGAAGCAGGGCGACCGCCCAGAAAGAAATCTACAGGGGAATGGCCTGGAAGGTAGGACGCAAACCAGGAAAGGTGGAACTACAGCAGACAGAGAGCACCTCAAGGGGGTGAGAGTTGTCTGAGGTGCTCAGTGATGCTTTGTTATAGTGTCTGGGACCTGGCCATTGAATTTCATATTACATTACATCATGGATCACCTTGGCAAGGACAGATAAGGTGACAACAGGCAAGTTCATGGGAATGGGCTCAAGATAGAGTGTGATTGGGGGAATACAGGCAACTGTATAGAGGGGTTTCATGGAAAAAGTAAACAAAGAAAATGAGGAAGGGGATGCCAAGGAACATTTGTAAAGTAGGCACCATCCCAGAATTTTATGCCAACACCAACCAGCCTTAGTCAAAAGAATGTTCCTTACTGTGCTGGATAGCTTTAGTGTCAACTTGACACACCTGGGTTGAGGGAGGCTCAGTTGAGAAATTGCCTCCATTGGACTGGCCTGTGGCCATGTCTGAGGGGCATCTTCTTGATGAGTGATGTGGGAGGGCCCAGCCCACTGTGGGTGGTGCCACCCCTGGGCAGGTGGACCTGTGTTACATAAGAAAGCAGGCTGAGGTGGAGCCAGGGGAGCAAGCCAGTAAGCAGCATTCCTCCATGGCCTGTGCTCCAGCTCCTGCCTCCAGGTTCCTGCCCTGAGTTCCTACCTTGGGCTCCTGGATGAACTGTGACCCAAGATATGTAAGCTAAATACACCCTTTCCTCCCCAAGTTGGTAGTGGTCAAAGCAATGAAGAAACAAACTAGGACACTTACCTAGGTGAAAATAGGTGTTTAGGGGGAGGTAGTTAGATGCATTTGATCCTGGATGTGTTTTTCCAGTGAAATAGAGGGAAGATTATCACCAGGGCTGGAAGTCTGAGGAGAAGGATGAAAACTACATGTGAAATTGAATAGACCAGACATATGTACAAGGGATACTTGGCAGAAGGATTGCCCACTGAAGGATTGTGGGTAGAAATGTGGAGTGAGACCAGTCAGCATAGTTATTTCTTTCCAGAAATGCTCAGCTGCCCCTGCGCAAGGTCACTGGCATGAAAAGAGTTTAATAAAGCCAGGCTGTGGATTTGCCTCATACACAGTACATTTTCTATTTATCTTTTTGTGACTGGTTCCCCTAGGTCAGAGAACACACTGAATAATTTTAATCCTTTGACATATATTAAAGCTTACTTTACAGTCAAGCTTATGATCAACTTTGATAAATGTTCCATATGTACTTTAAGAGAACATGTATTCTGATATTGTTGGGTACAGTATTTTGTACCTGTCAGTTATATCAAATTGATTCATTAGGTTTTTCAGATCTCTTTTCTTAGGTGATTTTCGTTTGCTTAGTCTATCAACTGCTGAGGTGTGTTTTTTTTAAATCTACTGTGGCTATAGATTTATCTATTTCTCAAAGTTCTATCCATTTTTACTTTGAAATTATAATACTTTTCTGGAGTAAAGAATCTTTTTTTCTTAGCAAATATCCCTCCTTATCTCTGGTACTGCTGTGAGTCTGTTTCTGAATACTACTAGCTTTCCTAAACCAGGTTTGTTTTCTTTAATGTTCTCGTTACAGTTTTTCCACCCTTTTACTTTCCAGCCTTTCTATGTCCTGACATTTAAGATGTTCTTTCATAAAGTAGTATGTACTTCTGTTTGAAATTTTATCCAGTTTAACAATCTTTTAAGTTTTTCGTCCATTTATATTTAATGGGATTTCTATGGGAGTATACCTACCATCTTATTTGTCCTGTTTATGTTGCTTTATTCTCATTTTTGCTCAATTTTGGCTTTGTCAAAGATTTTTCCTCTATTAGCTTATTGAAAATACACGCTTATTGATTTGCATCAGAGACACTATAGCATTCACCATTCCCTTGGAGTTGCATATAAATCGTCACTTCATGTCATAGTTTTTCCAGTTGCTGACAAAGCAACCTGAGGGATAAATGGTTAAAGTCCAGCATGTTACATCCCAGTCAAGAGCAGACATCAGTGGATTAATGTGTGCCTGTTTATGCTCAGCTGGCTCCCTGCACAGTCCAGGATGCTGCCTAGGAGATGGTGCCACCCACAGCAAGGTCTTCCTACCTCAATTAATCAAGATAAATCCCTACAGACATGCCTAGAGGCCCATCTCCCAAGTGATTCTAACTTATGTCACATTGAAAGTTTAACACTAACACTAACCACTAGACTTCATTTCCACAACAATGTAGGACAGTATAGCTCCTTTAACCTTCCTCCTGCCTTTTGCATTATAGGAATATATATATATGAACATATATTTATATTCCTCACAAGCAATGATTATTACAATTTTGACCAGGCCGTAATTTTTATTTGCCCATATTTACCTTTCCATTCCCCTTCATTACTGAAGTAGGTGGTTTTTGAGACAATAGCTCACTATGTAGCCCAGGCTATCCTTGAACTCACAATCCTCCTGCCTCAGCTTCCAAAGTGCTAGGATGAGATTGTTTTTGTTAATTCTTAGTGTCACCAGCCACAGATTCTCACAGTTTTCATTTGAAAGTATCTGTTGTCTACATTTTAAAAGAATTCTAGATGGACAGAGACTTTCAGCATTTTAAGATACAGCCATATCTTCCATTGTTTGTGTTGCTAGGCCAACTGTCAGTGTTACAGGTGCTCTCGTGAGAGGTACCCAGCTTTTTTTTTCCTCTCTACTTTTCCAGTCTCTGTTGTTTAGTGCTTTAACTGTAGTGTCTGCGGTATTCTTTGCATTTATTCTGTCTTCGGGTTTCCTGAGGTTTTTGAGTTTGTGGACTGCTGTCTTTCATCAGATGGGAAAAGCCTCAAAAATTCTGTCTGTACATGGTCTGCTGCCCACATGCTCACGCGCTCTTCTTTGGGGAACCTGTTTCTCAAATTTCACAGCTTTCCATTGTGCTCCATGCATCTCTGTCTGTCTTCACCTTGGGTGTGTTCTGCAACACCCATTTCAGTTTGCCAATCCTGTCTTCTGCATCTCATATGGGGGTTAACCCATTTATCAATTTTCCAAGTAGTTCATTTTTGCTTTAAAATTTTATATGTATAAAATCTTAATTGCCTTTGTGTGAGCCTTCCCGTTGTCTTTTTAATGTTTAAAATCATATCATTTCTCTTAGAATGCCTAGTGATTTCTTTTAATCTAGACTTTCTATTAAAAAAAAAAAAACACTATGAAGACTTTAAATGGCTGTAATCCACCAGAAACAGTTTATGACTCCGCTAAACAGGAGTAGAGGTTTCTAGAAGACTGAGTCTGCTCTGTCCCTCCCCTGATCCTGAGGCTTTTAACTCAGAGGCTGGCATTTTCACCAGGATCTCTTTCCTGCCAAACGTTGGTTCCTCCGCACATGGAGACTATTGAAAACCCTGTTCTGAATTTAAGAGATTTTTTTTTATTTAGCTTTTTGGCTTTCTCCATACCACCTCAGCAGAAACACATGCCTGATGAGAGGGGATCAAGCAGGGAAGACAGTGTCTAAGCTCTAGGGAAATGTTGCTGTGAAGAGAGCAGATAAATGGAGCAGGTGGAGAAGGTGTAAGCAAGGAGGAGTTCTGAAGAGAAAGAACGGAAAACTGAAGTGTCCGGATGATACTGTTGCCTTGGTTAAAAAGCTCTGGCTAGAGAGCAAAGCAGTATCAGGTGCCAAAGCCTTGGGTAAATGTATTAGTTACTTTTCTTGTTGTTGTGACCAAATCCCCAGTAAGAAGCAACTTAAGGCAGGGTTTGCTTGGGCTCAGTTTGGGGTTTCAATCCATCATGGAGTAGGTGTGGCAGCAAGAACTGCTTGTCAGGACAGTGAGATGAACACTCGTGCTCAGCTTGTGTGCTCCTGTTTTTCTTTTCAGTCTTGGGCCCAGTGTTCCCACTCTGAGCAGGTCTTCTGCCTCAGTTACACATCTCTGGGAATACCCTCATAAGCACATCCAGAGATGTGTCTCCTAGGTGATTCCAAAACCAGTAAAGTTGCCAATAAAAATTAACCATCATTGGCTGAGCATAGTGGCACACGCCTTTAATCCCAGCACTTGGGAGGCAGAAGCAGGCAGATCTCTGCGAATTCAAGGCCAGCCTGATCTACATAGTTCGTTCCAGGCCAGCTGGGGCTACAGGGAGACCCTGTCTCAAAAAGACCAAAAAAAAAAAAAACCATCATGGTAATGAAAGAAATATCCAGGAAACTGGGAGACAGGAAGAATGTCCAGAGCTCATTGCAGACAACAAAAGCCTTGGGGTAGGTGAAAGCCAGGACTTCGGGCGGGGGGGGGGCTGAAATCCAAAGTTCAATTCTGTACGTTAGGGTAGGATCAACAACAGGGAAGGTTATCAGAACCCCACAGCAGTGAAAGGATGTAGAAGACGGTAAAGGCCTGGAACATGCTCATGCTTAGGAGGAAGTGAAGAAGCCCAGGAGGTGGGAGCCAAAGGAAGAAAGCATTTCTGAAAGGGGATGTTTGGTTAACGAACAAAGTCTTGTTGGACTATTAGGAGGAGGCTCACAGAGTGGCCACTGAGCTTGTGTGGAGGTCTGGGAGGAGGATCATAGCGTGACCGCTGAGCTTGTGTGGAGGTCTAGAGCAGTTCACTGCGATAATAGTGCTTTGGAAGTCTGGCCCACTGTGAGCTTGGATGGTCATGTCTTTCACCTCACTACAAAGGCTAGAATGTGGTTGAAACTGAATTTCAGACATTATATTGATATAAGTCATGGTGGCCAAAGGAGTGGGGGAGAGAAGCCCTTGAAACCAAGAAGAATGTAAGAAAGTGGAGCTTTCGGGAATCGCCACATGGGTTTGAAGACATCAAATTTAGTGATCAAATGAGTAGCAGAAAAGATGGTAGTGAGCCTGTGTCAGCGTCTCTGCTGAGCAAAGGGGTGATGAAGATGTTAACCAGTGAGCAGGAAGCTAGAGGTTCACAGTCCAAGGGTGTGAGCACCAAGGAACAGTTTCTGCACTTTTAGAACTATACTATGGGGCTGGAAAAATGGCTCCGAGGTTAAACGTGCCTGCTGCTGCTCTTGAAGAGGACCCAAGTTCAGTTCCCAGCATCCACATCAGGGAGCTCACTACCACGTGTAACTCCAACTACAGGGGATCCAATGCCCTCTTCTGGCCTCCACAGGCACCGTACACACACACACACACACACACACACACACACACACACACTTTTTAATCCAAAGCTACACTATCACAAGGAAAGAACAACCTTCTTTGTGACAGGAGTCTGGAAAAAGTTATAGCCTCAGTAGATAGTTGAGTTCCAGATAAGCGGTGGTTGGGAGTGAGCCTGATGCTGTAGTCTGAGTCCCAGAGGCATCAACTGATGGATGGACAAAAAAAGAGGCTGCTCAGAGTAGAGCAAGGTAAGGTAAGAGGGGGGACCACCGATGATCTCAAAGTCTACCTCAGATGGCCCAGGGGAAAAAACCAACTCACCAGAACACAGGTGGATGCTGAGGGTCCAAGAAGCTCCCAAGGCTTCCAGGAAGAGTAGAGAGGGGTCTCAGCCATTAACAGGACTGGCCACTCTTCTAGAGGACCCAGGTTCAGTTCCCAGCACTCATATGGCAGCTAACAACCATTCATAACTCCAGTTCCAGGGGATCCAACGCCCTCTTCTGACCTCCATGGGGACTGCATGACATGGGTACACTTACATCCATACAGGCAATATACTCATAGACAAAAACCAATAAAATATATTTTTAAGAAAGAGAGGACCCTGGTGCTTGAGTAGAACACTTCAAGTCTGTATTCAAGCTATGTCCATGGTGGATCAGGACACTTTAGGAACAGCATGAGCAAGATGAGTACTTAAAAGAGACAACTCATTTGAATGGAAGGCTTCTATCTGGGTTCCCATACAGGGCTGTTGGCAAGGGTTCAAGGCCAGCTTCCCAACTCCTTTATTACGATATCCACATACACAAAGCCCAGAAATAACCGTCATGTAAGCTCCAACCTCAGCAATGACCAACTTGTCACTATTTCTTTTCAAGTCCATAGGTGTGGACCCTCTGCCAGCTAAGCTGTCCTACGACAAGTCACATGACCAAGTGTGGGTCCTGAGCTGGGGGAACATACACAAGACCCAGCCAAGTTTGCAGGTATGTTGAACACGTGAAAGCTGACCCTCGGCCTACAGAAGGATGTTCTTGCTTCCCTTGGTCATTTCTCAAAACTTCCTATCAAGGCCCTAGAAGAAAGTGGGAAACAGCTTCAAAGTAATGCCCCCATCATGCAGTTAACAGGCCTGCTACTGAAGATAATGTATACTGATAGAATTTCTAATGTCATGACAACCCAACCCAAGGCCTACCCAGCAGTAGGGTAGAGAGGGTGCAGGCAACAAGACCAGTAACTCATGGCATGAAATAGGATGAGGCCTTGAAGTCCTCACAGTGAGGAAGAAAACAGGGCTTTCTTCTCCTTGGGATGGACCATCCAGAGAGAGTCAAACAAAGGCAAGTCGTAAATACTAGGTTTCTTAGCTGGGCATGGTGGCACATGCCTGTAATCCCAGCAGAGGCAGATCGATCTCTGTTTGAGGCCAGCCTGGTCTACATAGCGAGTTTTAGGCCATCCAAGAATACATCCTAGGGTCTCAAAAATACTGAGTTATTTTTATTTTCTGTTGTTATAACAAAACACCTGAGACTAAGTGATTTCTAAAGGAAAAGGCTCTACTTTAACTAGTGATTTTGTACAACTAGTCAGTTTCTGGTAAAGAATCACCAGCAAAGTTGCTACACCTCATCATGGTAGACATGTAGAAAAGGGAAGCAGATGTATATGGAAGGGACATGTGTGTTGGAGAGTGAAGAGAGGTAAGGTATGGGGTGCCTTTTATAACAACCCTTTCTTATAATAACTAACCCTGTCTCATAAGAACTGTATGAATCCCTTCATGAGGGTAGACCCTCATGAACAATTAACTCATAAAAGTCTACTACTTCTCAATACCATAACATTGGGAACTGCACCTCAACATGAGTTTTTGAGGACACACTATTGAAACCATAGCACTGGGTTATAAAAGAAGAGGAGGAGCCAGGGTGGTTTTGTCCATAAACAAAGCACAAGTACAAAGTGGTCCCAAGGTAAATCATTTGCCTGTGGGCTCAGTGAGGCTCTATGACTCTGCCTAGTCCCTCCTTGGAAGAGGTTGGGCTCTGAGGATGCCATGAGAATCTTCCCCTGCACCAGCCAGAGGAGGTTGACCTATCCTGTGTTGAATGAGCCTGCCTCAGCCTCTCTCACCAGAGATTCAATAGGCCCAACAGTGCACAGATCTGAGTTAATTAAAATCAATTAAACAGGTGCACAGATCTGAGTTAATTAAAATCAATTAAACAGGTGCCCATCTGGGCTAGAATAAAGGCCACAGAGAACAAAAAACAAAGAAATAGAGCTGCTGGGGGCCTCCATTGCCTACTATTCTCATCACTGTGACCAAACACCCTTTGAATTAGTTTGAGGGTACAGTCCATCACAGTGGGCCCTGCAGCAGGGGTGCCGAGCAGCTGTGGCAGCAAGACAGAGAGGCTGCTTGTTCACATCGTGGTTGACCAAGAGGCAGAGAAGGTGCAGGCAGCAAGACCAGGATACAAGTGTCAAGGCCCTTCCCCCAGCAACCCACCTCCTGCAGCTCGGCTCCACCCCCTAAGGCTCTACAACCCACTGAAACAAAAGCACCTGATGAGGACTGCATGTTCAAACCCATGAGCCTGGGGACACTGCACATCCAAACCATAACAGGAACAGATATTTTTTTTTCAGAATGTACTGAAATTGAAGGGAAAGGGCTCTGAGGAAAATGAACAAAACTTCTTTCCCCAGTTTCCACAGCGATTTATAAAAAGACATTTCTGTTGAGTAGCATGACAGAGAAACAAAATCTTACAGATTTCTCAAGGGAAAATCTATGAAGAGATGGAGATGGATGTGGACGTTTGGAGAGACTAAATAGTCACACTTGGGGGCCTGGAAAAGTGATTCAGCAATTAAGAGCCCTGGCTGTTCTTGCAGAGGACCCTCATGACAGCTAACAACCAAGTAACTCCAGTTTCAGGAGATCCTCTTCTGGCCTCCACAGGCACTGCTTGCATGTGGTGCACTTACACATAAAATTTTTTTAATAAATTTTAAACACAGTTGGAATGGAATCAAATATACCAGACATGGTGGCACTCCCCTGTAATCCCAGCACTCAGGAAGCTGAAACAGGAGGATCCTCATGAGCTCAAGGCCAAACCTGCACTACATAGCTAGTTCCAGGCCAGCCAGGGCAGCACAGGAAGACTCTCACAACAACAAAAACAATAAATAGGACTGAAAAGATGGCTCAGCCATTAAACACTTGCCACACAAGGGTGAGGACCAGAGTTCACATCCCCAGAACCCATGTAAATGTCAGGTGGGCATTACGACCCACCTGTAATTCCCAGCCTCATAAGGTAGAGACCAGGGAATGCCGAGAGTAAGCTAGCTAACAAGACTAATGCCATATCAGTGAGCTCTGGTTTGACTGAGAGGCCCTACCTCAATAAGATAGAAGAGTGTTGATGATTCCAACATCAACTCAGGCTTCCATATGCACGCACACTATACATGAC